ATCTGCAAAGAAAATAGAAATGGACTTGTTGTCAGTTGTACAAACATACTTCAGACACTTATTAGGTTTCTTCTGTTATTGCCAAGATGTGTTGTCTTGATTCAGCATAACTTACGTGTCTACATGCATTGGTTTTGATAAAAATTTAGGAAATAATGAGATTTTGGTATACAAATCTTAACTTTGCATTATCTATTAACTTTTAAAGTCCTTTAAAATGATGAGTTACAATGAGTGAATGAGTGTGTGTAATAAATAAAGTGGTCAGATGCAATGGAAATGGATATATGCACACCATGTATTATTCCACAGGAAATCTAACCGCCTTAACCCAATTATTAATTTTAATTGTTAAGGCAGTTTAATATCAACAGTAATACAATTAGAGATTACCAGTCGGAAAAGAAAATCCTGGGGGCTTTTCCTTTGTGTGTCTTTTTAAAGGTTCGGGAGAAAGGCATAAATCCATAACGGACATGAACATCTTTCATTTGTTTTTTCCACAGCACTGTCATCACTTCATCTCTATAAGATTTCATGAAGCTTGCATATCAATGTACCAACTCCCATTCAAAGCAAATACATCACTTTTCTTTTTTGTTTTGTCTACTGAGAGATGAGCTTTAATGCTAAATACTCACAATTTCAGTGGAGATTTTTTCGACTATGTTATTATCCTGTAAATTACGGAGAAAGACAGAAGCAGGGGAGCTGGCAAGGAGGCGGAGATTAGCAACATTGGCCGGCTCATTGGCTGCTCGGGTGATGCCCAAAGTGAAGAACTTGATGCCCTGGTTTTTGGCTTCAGCAACAGCAGAGAAAATGTCAGGGTTCCTTGGGTGGGAAACACCATCTGTAAGCAGCACTGCTACTTTGATGCTGTGGGGGCTGGATTCTTCCAGGTAAATCTTGGTCATGTTGGTGATGGCGTACGTGGTGTAGGTGCCATGCCCAATGTAGACTATTGGGGCTATTTGGGTCTTGAAATTCTCTGCTCCTCTCCAATCTCTGAAGGTCTGCTCTGTGATAATGTGGCTGCTGTACTGCAGCAGAGCAACTCTCAAACTCAAGCTGCGTCCAGTCTGCAGCCGGACACCTCGGAGTCTGTCCACCATGTTCATGGCAAACTGCTTTTCATCCTCATGATTGTCTTTTGCACTCTCAGAGCTGTCCAACAGGAAGGCAAGTTCCAGGCTACAGTCTTCATCAAGGATGGCTGTGACCACACAGAACAAGTTATCTGATTAACTGATTGACTGCATCTCAATCAATTTGATGAGAAAATGCTGCAATTTTTGTAACAAATCCAAAAATTTATATTGAGAAGATGTAAAAAGTTTTGCAAAATCAGTTGGGGTTATGAATTTGTGTTTCTTATTTTGTTGAAATATACTGCTTAAGTTTTGAGAATGAAGAAATATTAATGCATCACTTTAAAAACTGTCTTCTTTATTCATTTATTTCTTACCTTGATCATTGTAGATATTTGCAGCAAGAGGTTTGGCTCCAGAATTCTTGATGGTTTTCCTCGCTTGGTAAAAGTCTTGGGCCCATATGCTGGAGAGTGCTGTGGCCAGCAGCAGTGGTGTAAGAAACATCCTTGCCCCTTAGAGAATACAGCAACGACAAATTAAAGTCAAAATTACACTGTACAAAAGAGGTCTTCACATCAAATCAGAGTGTAGCAGGTTGTTTTTTGGAGAAATCAAACTCTTAAATGTGACATTTAGAAAGGTAGTAGATCTTTAAAAGTATTAAGAGACTTTCTTCACATTGACTTACAAGCCAGCTTCCTGTGCAATTGCTGCAGTCAGTCCTGTTTTCGGAGTCGTGAAAAATGCAGAATTAAAAAAGGCAGCAGGGTGGGCAGAGGACCAGCAGAGGACAACTAGCACCGTGGGTTGCACTTCATTGATTGTGAAGCAGCAGTAGCGTCAGTTCTGCTGGCAGAAGAGACTAAGAGACCCTCAGACATTCACTCCTCCTTTATAAGGAGGCACCGACAGACCAGATCCAATGGAGCAAGGCCAACACTCCTGCGCTTGCCTGAGGCAAAGAGATCGCTGAGATATGTTTGAAAGAGTGAAGCAATGTAGTGCATGTTTGGTGAACTTGGTATTTTAATGACTACAAATTGAACTACAGAATAACACAGAATTATATTCATCATGTTAAGTAATGGATTGAAATCATTATAGTTACAGAGTTTAATTAGCTGCATTTAGATTCTTCTATAATCATTAATGTCATTAAACTCACTATAGTTAAATAGCGTTATGTTAGATGCTTAATTCTTTGTATTTGCTGTGAGCTCGTAAAATTGGAATGGTTTTAGTGATGTTTTTGTAATTAAATTCCATAAGGGTGTGGGAGGTTCAAAATGTAAAGGCTCTAAAGCCAAATTCCTTGTCACCTTCGGTCTCACTGGGGCTTTGGAATGACCATAACAGTGCTGCCTGTGGAAAAATGGGTTAAAAGGTCCAAGATTTATGTTCGCTTAAATGCCAAGCAATGAAAACCAGTGAAGAGGTGCAAAAAGGTGGCAATCAAATAGAATTTTGATCCAAGTATTCTCCACAAAGAAAGATAGATTCTGCTTAACTCTGCTTTTATTTGTTTTTAAATGTTTGTCCAATGCTGCCCCTGTGTACCTCTCTGAGCTTCTTCATCCATACATACCTTTCCGGTCCCTCAGGTCGGCAGACCAGCTCCTCCTGAGCGTGCCCAGGACTAATCGTAAGCTCAGAGGGGATCGGGCATTTGCTGTGGCAGCACCAAAATTGTGGAATGAGTTGCCTTTACATGTTAGACAGGCACCTTCCTTATCTGTTTTTAAATCACGTCTTAAAACATATTTATTTACCTTGGCTTTTAGCACAGCAGGACTTGTTGATATCTCTTAATATGTTTCTTATTAATTATATTATTTTTAATTTTAAGATATTTTATATGTAATTTAAACTGTTTCCTCTCTGTTTTATATTTGTAGCACTTTGGTCAACATTGTTGGATGTAAAGTGCGTTATAAATAAAGATGCTATGCTATGCTATTCAGAAGCTTCAAATAAAGCTTAAAACCTCCAAGTCAGTGACAGGCACTTCAATTTTCAGAAAATAAATAAAAGGAAACTGCAGGTGGTATTTCACCTTCCAGACCATGAAATATGACCTTATGATATTGCAGAAGCAGAGGTGACCTTTCATTGTGCTCCTGGTGTGGTTTAGAGATGAGGATGGTTCTTGAGGATTCACAGAGCATTCTGCCTGCTGTGCTTAAAGTGAAGAGGCTCTGTATTACAGACCTGCAGGCTAGGAGTAATTAGAGGAGACTTTCTGACACAAAGGAATGCAACACTGAATGATGGTTTGGAAAAAAACACACACACTGCATCTTTGGATTATGACAAAGGACAGCCTATCAGTATACTTCGTATGTAGGGTGTATGACTGTAAAGTTCAGGTGTGGTCAAAATGGATTACAAAGAATTTGGTCGATATTTCTGATCTGCAACTGCTTATCCAATGAATGTCACCAAATGGCCTGGCGAGAAAGGAAGGGTGCACCCTGGATATGTTTGCCTGTCTGTTATAGGGCTCACTGAGAAAGACAACTATTCACTTTCATATTCACATGTACCACCAATGTAAAATCATCAGTTAACCTAAACTTGTTGACCAGATGTGCACAGGAAGAGCACCCAAAGTCCAAATGGAAAGGTCCGAAACAAAACTTTTTTTTTTACCAGAACCAAATTTTTTTTTGCCATCCACAAGTCAAGATTTTCCCAGAGGTCTGAATTTTCTTGAGTAAATCTAAATTCCATCCATCTATCCATTCTCTGCCGCTTATTTTTTTTCAGGGTCGAAGGGGGGCTGGAGCCTATCCCAGCTGTCTTGTGGCGAGAGACAGGGTACACCCTGGAGAGGTCACCAGTCTGTCGCAGGGCTAATAAATTTAAAATTTAATTTCAAATAATTCCAAACTTTTGAACTTATAGATGGCATAAAAACTCCAACTTATTTTCATTGGCAGAAACAAGTTCCACATTTCGCAGCACTGTCATATGTTCAGTCTCGGCTGTTGGCTTCATAAAGCATCTCTGCATCACACAGTGTGTTTTTATAAGCTGTAAAATTAGTTATATGCATTACTACTACAGTATCTCTTTCAAAATACACTATCCCAACCTATGTATGCAAGCACAATCTGACCTGAAGAGTTGTAGGGGCCATCTTCGCCTTCATTTGATAGGCAAAGACAGACATTAAAGCCAGACATAAAGGCAGGGTGAGAAAGAATGACATGGAGGAAATCACCATGATCCCAAGCCGCTGCAGCTTTTCAGCATTCAGGTTATCCACTTAACCAAGTGAGCAACAGCAGTCCCCCAACAGATAAGATTTGAGGTGTTCCTTCGTACTCATCTCATCATGAATTTTCACAAAATGCTGAATTTATCTAATTTATTAACATGTAATTTTATTACACAAGTTAAATTTAATGGATAGTTTATACAAATAACCTTTTCCTTGATGAATTGTTTGAATAAATAAACCTTTGATTTGATATGTTTCAGTTGCACTTCATTCAAAATTATTGCTTCAATATTATTATAATTAATGCTTGAGAGGGTGAAGAATCATTTTTGTGAGTGAATAAAACTAAACTCCTAATATTAAGCTGGCAAACTAACTTGCAGCCATAATCAGCATTCCTGAGCCTTTTTTATTTACAGTTGACCCCAATTAATAAATACATAAATAAAATTTAAAAAAAAATCTGCTGACCAATAACTCCCCCTTTAATTAAACTCCCAGTTAAAAATCCAGTCCAAACCTTTCAGTTGGAGTAAATCTATATACAGGGAGTAGTTGGCCTGTGAAGGACTAATTCCCTTTACCTGTATCGCGACTGTATGTTATTGGAAATGTCGGCTCTGCCCTCTAGCGGTGTATGAAGGCATAAAATCAACTCATACCGCACATGCTCAGAAGGGCCCGGTTCAGCGGTTAGAGATCTGCCATAAGCAGAGTGCGCCGTCACCTTCAGCCATCTTAACCATGTTGGGTGCCTTGGGACGGTGTTGCAGCGGGTCTCTGCAGGCTCTGAAGCCTGGCTTCAGCTCTCTGAAGACAATCCCCGGGAGAAATGCGGCTCTCTATTCCAGTAAGTAAAGTTTAAAACTGTGGCCGACTGTCAGCATTATGTGTCGCTTGTTACTACAGCCAGTAGATGCGAACCCGGCGGAACAGGCCTGTACCATTAAGGCTCCATTCATTGAAGATCAGTGGGTATTTTAGCCAAACAAAGGATCTAAAATATGAGCGAACCAGTTATTTAGGCATGTTTTTGCTTCAGGTATTTGTCTTTACTCCTGATATGTTTTACTTCGCTGTCTTCCATGAATGACCTTCGTAAGCGGGTCATTGTTTTGCCACAGACCCTGTGCTCTCGCTGTTCCAAAGTTTTAGTTAGTCTGTGTGCTTCAGTTACAACAGAATACGGAAGTGCATTTAAGAAAACCTAAAAATGTGGCAGTATTTTATAGGCAGGCAGTTAATTTGCCTGCCCTCTAGATGTACTTCAGTTCACTTGCATAGGTTAATTTAGTATGCACGGTCTCTCTGGGAAGCATGAACTGTTGCTGTCACGTGCTGCCATTCATTTCACTGTCCTTTCAGGCAGGGGTTATGCTGCCCCAGCTGCTCAGGCTTCGCTGGCCAATGGCCGGATAGTAGCTGTGATTGGTGCTGTGGTGGATGTCCAGTTTGATGAGGGCCTGCCTCCCATTCTCAATGCCCTGGAGGTGGCAGGCCGCGAGAGCCGGCTGGTGCTGGAGGTGGCACAGCATCTCGGTGAGTGTGCTGAAACGAGCCAGCTCAACGCTCCAGAGTGAATATTTGTCCTTTAATGTCTTTCTTTGTACATTCATTCAGGTGAAAACACAGTCAGAACCATCGCCATGGACGGTACTGAGGGTCTGGTCCGTGGTCAGAAGGTTCTTGACACTGGAGCTCCCATTCGGATTCCCGTGGGCCCCGAGACCTTGGGCAGGATTATGAATGTCATCGGAGAACCCATTGATGAGAGGGGTCCAATTAGTACAAAGCAGTGAGTATTGAAAGGATTCAAACTTTTCCACCCTCTGTGAATATCTCAGCTTTTGTCTGTTTTACTCAAATAAGAGTTAAAATGTGTCTTTACTATTAATGGGTTTGACAGATGATAAAGCACACATGGCACCTGTCTTATTCAATTGTAAGCATGTTTACAATAACAAACATTACTTGACAGGACTGCTCCTATTCATGCTGAAGCCCCTGAGTTCACTGACATGAGTGTGGAGCAGGAGATCCTGGTGACTGGCATCAAAGTGGTAGATCTGCTGGCACCCTACGCCAAGGGTGGAAAGATCGGTTTGTTGATTTTTTATTTTTTTTTTTTTTTTTTATATAAAATCCACATTTATTTTTTCACACAAGAATTCCTTGTTAATTTATTATTGTGTATGCGTCATTCCTTAAAGGTCTGTTTGGTGGTGCTGGTGTTGGCAAGACTGTGTTGATTATGGAGCTGATCAACAATGTGGCGAAGGCTCACGGTGGTTACTCTGTGTTTGCTGGAGTGGGCGAGAGAACCCGCGAAGGAAATGACTTGTACCATGAGATGATTGAGTCTGGTGTCATTAACCTGAAGGACACGACCTCAAAGGTCAGAGCCTTTTAACAAGTTAGCTGTTAAAACATACGTAGTCATTGTATTGTAGCAGTAAAAGTTTGGTTTTTAGCTCTGCTGTTGGATTTCAGTTTCCTGGGACTCTTGCATCGTGTTTCTCAGGTGGCACTGGTGTACGGTCAGATGAACGAGCCTCCAGGTGCTCGTGCGAGAGTTGCCCTGACCGGTTTGACTGTTGCAGAATACTTCCGCGATCAGGAGGGACAGGACGTGCTCCTCTTTATTGACAACATCTTTAGGTTTACCCAGGCTGGATCAGAGGTTTGAAATGGAATAAATAAAAAATACTTTTTGTTAGACCTAATAGTTATGTCATCTCACTTTAATATTTATATCATTATCCTTTAGGTGTCTGCTCTGTTGGGTCGTATCCCTTCTGCCGTGGGTTACCAGCCAACGCTGGCCACTGATATGGGTACAATGCAGGAGAGAATCACCACCACTAAGAAAGGCTCCATCACCTCAGTACAAGTAAGAATTCCCAGGATGCTAATCCTAATTACATGTCAGCATGCTCTTGTTTTCCGGTTTATTTAAACTGATTTGTATTGCAGGCTATTTATGTGCCTGCTGATGACTTGACTGACCCCGCTCCAGCTACCACTTTTGCTCACTTGGATGCGACAACCGTGCTGTCCCGCGCTATCGCCGAGCTTGGTATCTATCCTGCTGTGGATCCCCTAGATTCAACTTCCCGCATCATGGACCCCAATATTGTTGGTTCTGAACACTACGATGTTGCCCGTGGTGTGCAGAAAATTCTTCAGGTAAGCTGTATGCCATAACAATTTATTAATAACAAACAATCAATACAAAAGGCAAAAACTAATGACTGTTTCTTTCTTTCTTTTTTTTTTGTAGGACTATAAGTCATTACAGGACATCATTGCTATCCTTGGTATGGATGAATTGTCTGAGGAGGACAAGTTAACTGTAGCACGTGCACGCAAGATCCAGCGTTTCCTGTCTCAGCCCTTCCAGGTAGCTGAAGTCTTTACCGGTCATTTGGGCAAGCTGGTCCCTCTGAAGGAAACAATCAAAGGCTTTAAGAGCATTCTAGGAGGTAAAGTGCACCACTGATATAAAGACATTTTTTAAATGGCATCAACTTGGTGTGCTTTTTATAGTAATGGTTATTGTTGTTTTGTTTTTTTTCTCTTCAAGGTGAATATGATGCCTTGCCAGAACAGGCTTTCTACATGGTGGGCCCCATTGAAGAAGTAGTCCAAAAGGCTGAGAAACTGGCCGAGGAACATGCGTAAACGATATCTTTCTGAGGCCGGAAAGTTTTGAGATGAACATTTGTACAGTGTAATTTCTATTTGAGGAACTTCTAACGTGTCATGCTAAGTATGTTTGTTGTGGTTCCATTTCTCTGGAAGATTAAATTTAAAAAAAAAAAAAAAAGTAAATTTGTGTTGTATCCATGGCTTCTTTTCTTTCTTTCTTTCTTTTTTTTTTTTTTTTTTTCCCCACCCTTCCCTCGAAATTGTCCACAAACATGCATACTTGTTCACAATAAATAAAAACCATCATACTGATTAGAAAACATACCAGATGTTTATCCAATTATGTGGCGCAGCTTCCTATTCAGCTCCCTTTCCTGTGTGAGGAGGCTGTCACTGTGTTCCTTGAAAGCGTCGAAATCCTGTGAAAATGAAACATTTGGAACATGTTCTCAGCCTCAGTTTGGGCGACCATGAAATTTTGCAGACTGCCTATTTCAATGCACCTCTTTTAGCTTCTCGAACTTTCTCACAGATTGATCGAGAGCAGACTGGAGGGACTTCACTCTTGCATCTTTGTTAACAGCTTCTACTTCACATGCAAATCTGAAAGTCGAGAACAAACGGAAGATCGCTCTCATTTGTGCTTCAGTCTTTCTGTGCGTGATCCTGGAAATAAATCTTAGTATGCCATGTTGAAGGATGTCGCAATTCCTAAGGTGTGTTAAGAAGAGAGAGGCTCGCTTACAGAAGTAAAAATGAAGGATGCATTTTTACCTTCAGTGTATAAAAGGTGAAGCACACAACTGGAATAGACAAATCACAGAGGAAGGAGTCCCTAAACTAATTGTCTGTATTTATAACTTTTTTCATTTATTTAAGATGATCAAACTTTCTGGCCTTCACTGTCACTGTGATTAAGAAACTTAGATATACCTTGTCATGTTGTAAATTAAAAGAATCGATCAATATAAAAGAATAGCATGAGGACTGCAACACTGGAGATCATAAAGTCTTAGTCCTGCAGTGCTGTAAGTAGCATAACAAAATTTATAGTGCAGATGTTAAACATTCTCATTTGACACTTTAAAGTGATGGCTTGAGGCAAAACTGATACTTCTCTAGTGGGAAGGGCTAAGACACGAGGACAGGAGTAGAGGAGAAAATAAGAAAGTCAGTTAAACTTTAAAGTCTTAGAGCAATGTAACGTGAGCACTGTTAGTACCTCTCCAATGCCTCCAGTTGCACTTTCTTCTCTTCTTTGCATTTTGTCTCCAGGTTCTGGATTTCCTCCTGTTTCTCCTGCATTTAAGAGCAGTTTGTATGTTAATGAAGCCATTCATTCATTCATGAGCATTTGTGTGTGTTTATTAGTTAGAACAATGCTGTTTTTTTATTGACCTGTATCACTTTGCCTCTTTCCATAGAAAGACACAAAAACTTGTCCTTCTCCTTCATGAGACTTGTTATCCTTTCTCTCATTTTGATTTCATTCAAAGCTCGCTGTTCTTCAGCCTCTTGTAGCTGCAGCTTCAGTTCTGTTTGCAGAAAGAAAGACATTATTTTGTAAACTGTAGAGATAGACCTATAGTTTTCTACGCACCTTTGCAGTTGTCCACAGCCTCTTTGTGCTGCTGGTGTGCATCCTGTAGCTCATTGATTAGTGATGTTTCCCTGGCTATATGCAGATTTTCTTGTCCCAGGAGTTCCATCTGGCATCCAGCTAATTTCTCCCTTAAGTTTTAGTGTAAAACAATTCAAAAGAAATTAACAACTATATATTTAATGATTTTTATTACTGTTCAATAATTCTTGTTTTTCAAAAGTCTGAGATTGAATCTCAATAGATTCAAGCATTAGAGTTAATTAGAGTTAATTACCGATATTCCTTTCTCTTGTGTGCATATTTCTCTATCTGCCGTTTAACTTCTTCCTCCAGTTTTTGCACTAACACTTGGCTGTCATGTAACCTCTGTGAGAAAAGCGATTCATTCTCTGACTGCAGCTTTTCGTTTTCGAGTTTTAACTGGCTGTTATGATTTTTATACTCCTCCATGAAAGCAATAATTGCTTGATTGTTGGCAGCTAAATCCATAAATCTTTTCTCCAGTATCTTTGATTTGTTCCTTTCCTCTTCCAGTTCTTTCTGACAGCGTGCCACTTGGTCCTCATGCTCTGCATTGATTTTCTGCAGGGCTTGATATCGGAGAAACACCTCGTCGGCTCTGTTTTTCAGAATGCAGATCAAACTTGACTGCTCATCTACTCTGGACCTCAACATCTTTTCCTCTGTTAGATCCTCCGTGGGAAGACTTTGAAGTTTCCCAGGTGACTTCTGAATGCAGTCCATATGCTGTGAACAAAGGGAAGAAACCTAATGTTAAAACATGGCAATAACTTCTCTCACACCAATCTGACAAGGCAGGCAGCTGTCCATCCTGAGCCTGTGTGTTTAGGCATGTAGACATGGTTAATTCAACCTTCTCCTTAGTTAAAACTCAGCATCAAAATGGGGACGAAAAGCAATTTAAGTATTTTAAGTAGTTCAATTCATGATTCAGCAATTTAAGTAGTTCAAATAACCAGATGACTTGTGGAAAAGCATCTCTGAATGCAGAGCATATTAAAACACTGAAGCAGATTGTCTTGACCATTTTAAATGGGGACAAGTCAGCTGGTGAGTGTATTTAACTCAGGGATGTCAAAGTCATTTTACATCGTTGGCCACAAACAGCCCACTTTGATCTCAGCCAGTGAAACTCCAATTTTAGTCAATGTAAAAAGAAATTTACTACACATTTAATCAATGAGATATCTTAATACAAGACAAAGAAGAGAAATTTCAACAGTATGTCTCAGTTTTTCTACTACATGCGTAGTAATTGAAAGATAATCTGTCAGCATGACTCTTTGGGCTTCAATTGTAAGAAGTAAATGTATAAAATTTCAGTCTATAAGATAATTACTTTGCTGTTACGTGAATGGCCATGGGATGAGATATTTATAATAAGGCAAAGTTGTAAAAGACACCTAACAATATTGGAGCCTTCGCCGGGCTGATTCTGGCCTTACGTTTGACACCCCAGGTCTGACTATTAACTATAGCGGTTAAATGTACTAAGTACAGTGCTATTGTTGTAGAGCAATTGCTCATAATTTTCTTTAAGTACACTATTGGGCTAAATGTACTTCTGCGACTAAACACTTTTAGGTAATTAACGGTTTTAGATACTCTGCGCATCTTAAAAGATCGCTAGCTTATACTTTTTATGTTACCCATCTCTTATTATTCTTTTTTAGCATGTTTCCAGTTTATTCACACACTTAGCTCACTTAGCTTAAATTTATTCCTCATTTAAAGCATTTAAGTAATACAGCAGTACTTAAAGTTAAGAATTGTCGAGAAAGTAAACTTAGTATTAGTTTGAACTAACTTTTTTGTTTTGCTTTTTTAAACACACCTTCACCTCGCTGCCCTCCATCTTCATGTTTTCCTCTGCATTGCTCTGTGAAACTGCCATGTCGAGTTCATATAATACAGATTTTCAGTCACATTTTTTCCGTACCTAACTTCCACTTTTCGTTGAAAATATCTTTTAAAAGTCTCGGTAGTTTCGGTTGCACCGTCGCTAATGGCAACCATCTTTGAACCGCCCTTTCTTCTGATTTATCGAGTCCCACTATTCGGCCGCATGAGGGCGATGTTGAGCTTATTATCGGCCGCCAACTTGGTTAACAGTAGGTTTTCTTTAAAAAAAAAAAAATATTATTATTATTTTAGTAGTAGCAGTTTATATTTTTTATTTATTTATTTATTTATTTGATGATTGCATTTTCCCGTGGCGCTAAATTTGTATATTTTTATTTTAGGGAGATCATTACACCATAATTCCGTTAGTTTACCATTAGATAATCTAATAATCGTTTGACCTCCTTTTGCAAAGCACCGTTACAAAGACTCTTAACAAAGTGCATGTTTGTCGTCATATGTGCCAGAAACATGGCCCTTGCTCGGGCTCTAACCAACCATACTGGGATTAAGTTCTCTGCCTGGGCCTTCTTGGACGCCCTAGAAGGCCTTGTTGTAGTTGCATGCTTTTTTATTTAGTCGCCCACTCTTTATTTTTCCCCCCAAGAACCAGTAGGCACCCATTTCAATCCCTAAATCAAAGTGATAGCCCGCTGAGAGTGAAAAATCACTGGCACTGGGACGAGTCGGACCTTACTCGGCATTATGCAGATTCCAGAGCCCAGAGGGATTTATCGTGAGGGCCGAGGCTGGGTTGGGGGAGCGGCTGTCCTGGCCTTTGTGCACGCCCCTTTTCATCAACTAGCGGGCCAAGAAAGACAGAGGAAAGCAACAGCATCCCAGCCCCAGTCCTTACAGCTCCTCCATCTGCACAGCGGAGCTGGACGGACCAGCCAGGATGTGGAGAGCACTGCTACTTAAATTCCTTTTTGTCCTTATATGCTGTGTTACATGGCACCACTCTGAAGGTAAGTACTGTGATTTTTTTAAACTTTTTTTTCTCTGTCCACACAGGATGTTAGCTGAATGACTCATTGAGGAACTGCATAACTGCTGCGCTGCACTGCACTTGTTGCACATAGGAAAAAAAATATGAGAAAACTGAAAATCAATCATATTTGATGGAATTTAAAGAGCAAAAGAAGGTGGAAATAGTATTGTTAATTCAAAAGCCTTTGGTTTAGTGCCTGCACTCAGGATGATACTGTATTTTTATTTATTTATTTATTTTTAATTTAGCCACCAGGTAAAGTAATTCTGTCTGTGGCGCTAAATGCTTTTACACATAGTATTACTTTAAAGGTTGAGCACAAAGCCTTCCTCACACCGATTGGAAGTTATCTTGAGGAACTTTTGCCTGAGCTTTACTGTTGCTAGGTAACGGAAAAGAGCATGTGACTTACAGGCAATCTGCGAGGACTGTGGGCCACTGGTACAAGTCTCATTCAGTGGAGCAGATTTTACGCTGCAAACCCACCGATTCGGCTCAGATTCCAGCTTTATTTTCTAATGCAAGAGAGAGAGAGAGAGAGAGACACACACACACACACACACACACACACACACACACACACGAAAAAAAAGCTCACACACTGCTCTTTATACGTGACAGTCTCATGCTTGTCTGTTGTGTTAGGAACACGGCTAAGATCTTACTTCTCAAATTGT